CCTGGTTGATCGGAACATCGGCCAGAATTGGTTGAGCCGCGATCGGCCGAGCTACTTCCATGTCCATCGACAGAGAAGGAATCTTCGCCGGATTATCGAGACCCATGCTGCGATCGCCGCGCGGTGTGAGCGTCACGACGTCAGGGCGGGAGACTTGCTGCTCCCAATACTGCTGCGAGCTGAACTGAGCTTCAACCGATGGCTGAGCCGTTGACTCTTGAGCAGTGTTAGCCTCGGGCGGTGCCTGAGGCGGAGTACTCCATGCCGACCAATAGGGCATGGCGGAACCAAGGCCAATCACTCCTAGTGCGGCGATGGTAAGAAACTTGGAATCGCCGTTCATCTTGCGTACCGTCGTCTTGGGGGAGTCACGTGTACGCATTCCATTGCATTACTTATCGAAGACCATCCTGATACTTCGCTTCATCGACGCATGCTAGCGTCGGGCTCCTTAGTTTTTAGAGGTCCCATTCACGTTTTTCGCAGGACGAAGGTACGAACATAATCGACGCACGCATCAGGTAAACTTTGCGCTGGAAAGCTTTAACGCCTGCGAAAAACCGAGCGAACACACCAGTTGAAACAAGGTGCCGCCGCCACAAGAGACGAGCGAAGACCAGTCGCCCGACTCGACGGAAACCAAAGGGCCAAGCACATGCCGGCAGCGGCACCTGATTCAACTAGAAGGAACAATGCTCACTACATACCAATACGCGATGCTTGCGCGGCGCAGTTCGAGTGACCGTCGACGAATCCGGCGCAAAAAAAGAAGGCGGCATCACAAGATGCCGCCTTCGTAAAGTTTAACGGTTAGCGAAGCTAAGGGCTTTCGCCGCGATTAAGCTTCCGCTTTCTTTTCGCTCTTATCACGATTCATCAGCCACAGCAGAACCGGGCATGCGATAAACACCGTGCTGTACGTACCAGCGATGACGCCGATCACCAGCGAGAACGAGAAGCTATGGATGCCTTCACCGCCGATGAAGTACAGGATCAACACCACGATCAACGTCGTGATCGAGGTCAACAACGTACGACCGAGCGTTTGGTTGATGCTGAGGTTGATCATCTCGCTGGTCAAGTCAGGGCTCTTACCGCGAACTTCGCGGATACGGTCGAAGATCACGATCGTATCGTTGAGCGAGTAACCAATGATCGTCAGGAACGCAGCCACCACCGGCAGGCTGATCTTGAATTCGGTCACCTGAAGGAAACCGAAGACAGGAGCGAGCCAGACACTTAGTGCAATAAACCCGAGCGTGACTAACACGTCGTGAACCAATGCCACGACAGCGGCAACACCGAAGGCAACGCTTTGGAAGCGGAACCAGATGTAGCCCACGATCCCGATCAAACAGAAAGCAATCGCCAAGATTGCCATCGTCTGCATGTCGCCAGCCACTTTGCTACCGATCTTGCTGGACGAAGGCCAGACTGGCGTCGAGTCGAGCTTCTTGCTGGCTTGCTCCAAGATCTTGGCCGACTCCGCAGGTTGTGTCGAAAGCTTAACCGTCCAAGTCGCTTGGCTCACGCGGCTATCAACTGGGAGCGTTTGCCCTTCGCCATCGAGGAGTGAAACCTCCGGCGGAACAACCGAAAGAGCATTGGCTGCATCCTTGA